TTATTTAAATTTCTTCTTCCTCTACCTTTTTTTTTTTTCTCTTCCTCTACCTTTTAGAAGTGACAATTTTCAGGCTGCCCCATTTCAAAACAAGTGGGGGAAAGTTTTGACACCTGGATCCGCAAGCGGGTAAGGACTACTCCAATGCCTTCCGAAATGTTTCCCTGTCAACTTTTTCTTTATAAATCCATCCTCCACACAAGTCCCAGAATGGAATTTTTAACATCCCTACATGATCATGTCATCCCTTCCGTTGGAGGATGAAATTCCCAGCCCTTGCCTCTCCTCCCCTGCATCTTCCACTGTCCGGCACCATCCAGTTCTTGCCAGGAAATGCTGATCTGCGGGCAGTCTCCACCCCTTCCCACCCCCACTCCTCACCACACCCCTTCTCTATGCTTCGCCCCAGCTGTGCTTTCTCACCAGTTCCGTCTACACCGCACTTCTCGTTAGTTCCGTCTATACTGCTTAGGTTTGGAGTCCCTGCACCAAGGAAGCATGCGTGGCACACATCTGACCCCTGCTGCGGGACACTCCTCTAGTGTATTTCCTCGGTAACCAACTTCTGTCTCGCTCTAATGCTGGGTCTGAAACTGTCAACTCTTGTATCTGCTCCCAAACTAGCCCTCCTGAGGGCAAAGATCACCCCTCACACATTTCCGTAGGCCCAACACTGAAAACTGGTGTGTCTGGGGACGCAAAATTGCTGCTTTGTGTCTGAAGCTAGAATGAACGACTTCTTTCTTGTACATCCAGGTTAGTACGGTTGGTATCATTAGGTGATATGAGTGAAATTTTATTGCACAGAAAATGTGCTCATACTTTAAATACATTATCTTACTTACACCTGAAGTAATGAGAGAAGAGAGACACTACTGAGAACCCCGCGATGAGAGAACAATTTCTAACAGGTGAGCCATGCCCATCACCTCAGGGACCTCTGACAAGGCAGAGGTGGGTTTCCGCTCAGCCACCACCGTATGCTGAGAAAAGAAATGGTTTTAAAAAAGAAGAAGAAGAAAGAAAAAGTTCTAAGAGCTCTCTGGGCTCTGATGCCATAATATCTGAGAAATGACACTGTTCTAGGTTTAATCTGAATTATGTTTCCCCAGATAGGTGGAACTCAGAAAGCCCTGGCCAGACTTTATAAAGTTTGGCCACTTAGAAGATCTGGAGCAAAATGTGGATGTGTGCTCCTTAACAAGTGCCCGCAAAGACTGATGACCTGAAATCCTCAAGACGGAACTTCTAAATTCCTGCAAATGTTTTATAGCTAAAGAGGAAAAGCTTCTGGAAAACAATACACATGTTTTCAGTCTCTAGTTTTTCTCCTCTGCTCTCTCTTGGATGCCATTCCCTCTTTTCAGTAGGATTTTACCACCACCCTTCACTGAAACTGCTCCTTCAAGGCCATCAGTGAGCATACACTGCTAAACCAAGGTCACAGATCAGTCTTCCTCTGTCTTGACTTGTTAATCGCATTGGACATAGTTGATTGATCTCCTACCTTGAGATACACTCTTCTCTTGGCTTCTAAGAAATGACACTGACCTACACTTCTGACTTATCTCTTTCTTTTGCTGGTTACTGCTCAAATTCCTAAGCCTTTACATTTGTGGGGGGCATGTGGCTGGACCTCACCTCTCTAGGCCTACTTCCTAGGGAACATCTTCTAGACTCACGGTTTCAAATACCATCTACTTGCCAATGACTCCCTAATTTTTACCTCCAGCCTGGGCTTCTCCCTTGAACTCCAACCTGTGTATCCAACTGTCTACTGCACCTGTGCATTCCGACAGATATCACATGTTAAAACCAAGATCTTAACCAGCAATGTCCCCAAAACCAACCAGATCCCTCTGCATTCTGCCCCATCTCAGTCGATGGCAACTCCATTCTTCTGGTTGTTGAGTTGGTGGCATCTTTGAGTCCTCTTTCTCTTTCGATCATCACTTATGAGAAAGCCAGGTCAGCTCTACCACATATACAGAATCAGAATTACACTACTTTTCATAACCTCCAGTGCTACCATCCTGGCCCAAGCCGTCCTCATCTCTTGCTTACATTACCGTAATTACCTCCCAACCCGTCCTCTCGCTTTCGCCCTTGATCTCCTACAGTGTATACTGGACACAGCAGCCAGTGACCCTGTAATAAACTCAGATTGTGCCACTCCTCTGCTCAAATCCTCAGTAGCTCCTGTGGATAGGGTAGAGCCAGCACCCTCAAGTCTTAATCAAGACTTTTGAGGCCCTCTCTGGTCTCACTTTCCGCCCCTACTTTGCTGGTCACTGACTTCGTTTCATTTCTCTGCTCTCTTGCTCTCTGATCCAGCCCTGCTAGTCTTCTTGCTGCTCTGCAAACATATTAGACACCCTCCATTTACCAGCCTTTGAACTTGCTGTTCCTTGTGTTCAGAACGGCCTTCCCCTACATATTCAAATGGCCAGCCACCTCACTTCCATCATGATTGACTCAAAAGTCACCTTCTAATTAAAGCTTTCCCTGGCCTCTTGGCCAAAAACTCTTGTGATTTTTGTCTTCTCCAGCTGAAATGAGGCCAGGGACTTTGGATCATATTGATCAATTATGTATTCTCAGGGTCTAAGTCAGTGCCAGTACATAAAAGGTGCTTGCTTAATATATAATTAAAGGAATTAATTAATTCAATAGTGAAAGTCACCGCCTATCCCGTCTTCACACTTCCTAGTTATCAATGACAAATCTCCAAAATCACAACCCTGAAAACGCAAAAGCTGTTTTTCAGTCTTGACTTTAACTGTGCTTTCAATTAACAAACCAGGTGGCTCCGAACTTGACGACGCCTGGAACGGTATCAAGCACACAGACTTAGGTATGGAATCCAGAAACTCCAAAATTCCCGATCTCTCACAAACGTTAGAATCTGTCCCCACACTTCTCCTGGGCCAAAGTTTGCTAATTTCTAAATAGGGCCAACGATCTGATGCAACCCAAGTATTTATGCAGAGTGACAGAATAATTTTAAACTCCAAAACTTCCAGCAGCAATTTGCATGAAAAAAACTTTGAATATTTAAAAGTATGCATTTTAAACAAAGTAATTCCAACACCAAAAGTGCTCACTGTAGCTCAAAAATTAAGACCCTTCAATGGCACGTTGATTTTTTTGTTTTCCCCCACCAGGTAGCCAAAATGAAATACTGGTCAGAGAATTTAAACAGATGGAAATGAGGAGGGATGAGAAAACACGTGGGATTGTGCTGATCAACTGAAGTTCTCTCGTTTCTGGCCAAAGTTTCCCTTCTGCTAAACACACACACACACGCCACATCATATCCTCAGAAACATTATTCCAGATATTAGAGTAAAAGCGATTTTCACAACATATTCACTTGTAAAGCTCTTCCTAATCCAATGATATAAGGAGCTGCCAGGCTCTTTCCCTGCCTCACTCATACTCCCCCAACCTCCCCACCAGACCCACACTCCCTATTTTTACTAAAGCTATGCTGTGGCACATGTACAAGTGTATCATGTGTGACCCCTGGGAGAAAGACCTAGGAGCTAGGACTCCTGGTTTCTTTCCTCAGGTATGTGCAGGAAATGGAATGGCCTTTGGCAAGTCACCCAGACTCTCTGTGACTCAGTTTCCTCTTCTCTCAGGTGGCTGGGAAGGTGTCAGGCTTGAGCCTGCCACTAGCTGAGTTGCCAGGATCTAGTAACTTAGTTTACAAACTTCTATAACAAAGTTACAGAAACAAAGTTGCCAAGTATGTGTCCTGGCCCCTTCTTCCAACATAATAGCTATATTAATACTGTCCTTGGGTTAGCACCAATGACTGTTCCTTCCGCAATTCTATTAAAGAGAGGGGAGGAGTGAGTGAGAGTAAACACACCAGCATAATTTGGGGGCAGCAGAATTCCAGCCTGCATCCTGTCACACCAGGCCAGTCCACACGGGCAATTACTGTGCTGAATTTAAAAAGCCCTTGGACACCTGCCTCCCGTATGCAACAAGTTCCTTTTTTCACCCTGTTTATCTCCACGGTCATCTATCTGTGTCACGAAGGGAACCATATGAGTGCAGCATCTGTTACTAGACTGACACAATTACCAAATACTTTCATAAGAGGAAAAAAATAACCGACAATAAATCCAGATTCGCTGTCAGGTGTTTTAGGAGACAAAACATCAGTCTTTCAATCACAGTGTATCGTTTAAGCTGAACATATGGTGCCACCAGCAGAGAATCACCAGCTCAGCTCGGTCTTTGACGGGCATAATGACCACAGAAATGTCATCTCCTCTGAATTGGCAGAGAAAAGCAGGCTTCTCACAGCCCCAGTCCAGCCCCTGAGTCCCCATAATAAGCAGGCAACAAACTCAAGAGACTTTCTCATTGGTTCCTTTTCCCCCATTGTTGGAATCTACGTAAATTCAATGACAGGTAGGGGAGCGTCCTTTACTTCTCAGACTTAGACAAAATATCATAAATTCAAGCCACAATGAAGTCATAAAAATTCAAGGCAATTTTTCATCATTGGTTACTTTTCCACTCCTATTAAAACTTATGTAAATTGAACGCCTGCTTTGGGAATACGCCGTATTTTTTCTACACCTAAATGTAGATAACTATCCGTGATCATAGAAATACTGTGCTATTTATTCTCTTCGCTCTTTTTCCGGATACAATCAACAGGTCTGTGTGATTCTTTATTCAACTGGACTTAAAGGATGGGTGTCTTAGTTTTCAGATGGAAGGGAGGGAGGGAGAGAGAGAGGGAGAAAGAAACACTAGAGTTTGAGAGATTGCAGTACTTCCAAAAAGAACCGGCAGGTTCGAATTCAGAGGCTAACCCAGCCTACCTGGGGACGCCCTGGCATCCCCTACTTTGGGCAGATGCTAAACACGGGCCCGCAGACACGCCCCGCTGGAACTCCCTCCAGCCCAGCCGCGGGCCTCCATCCTGCGCGGTACCCCACCACGCGCCCAGGCGCCCCCGGGGCAGAGCCGTTTACCTGCCAGGCTGCCCGGCCTCTGGAGGGTGGCCGTGGCATACAGCTCCTGCGAGTGCTTGCTGTAGGGCTCGGACGCGTGGACCAGGCGCTTGGTGGGCGACA